TATGTGACTGTTGCAAGAATAGGGATAACTTATTTATTTTAAAAGCAATTACTTCCAACTTTTTACAGCTGACTACATAATATAGCACTTTCTGAAATAGTAATCAGAAAGTTTGTGTTATCACAAATATTTTAATAATTTAATCCGCTTTGTGACAAAATTTTTCGTCATGTTTCCACCTTGCGCGCACAGTTTAAAACATTCTGTTGCATAATTTAATTCCATATTTAATATATAACTTTTATAACATTTGGAAACTACTGCGAACCTAAAATTCTTGAAATTTCATGTTAAATTTTTATTTTATTTTGAGTCGAGTTTATAAAATGTATTTTATTAAAAAAATCTGTAATGTTTTCGTCCATAAAATTTTTCAGTATTAAAATATTCATCAGATTTTTGGTTCAGTTAGAAAATAGTGCCCATATAAAGAATTCCATCAAATTTCAAGAATGTACCATTAGCCATTTTTAAAATATCATGCGCGCAAGGTGGAAACATGGCGAAATATTTTGTCACAAAGAGGATTAAATTAAAAAAATATTTGTGGCAAAACAAACTTTCTGGTTACTAGTTTCAAAAGCAGCTATATTACGTAGTCAGCTGTAAAAGGTTGGAAGAAATTGCTTTTAAAATAAATAAAATATCCCAATTCTTGCAACAGTCGCATATTCGAAGATCATAAGGGGTTTAAGGTGTATGAGCTTCCTTAAATACGGTAACTGAAACTTCTGTTTCGGGGGGGGCTTCAAAATTTGAGAAGTTTTGTATATAGCAATGAAAAATGAAATAAAAATGCTACCTCATTTGTGAATAATATTTAAATAGTATTTTAAATCGTTGTACTTGCTGACTGAAATAAAGAGATAAATAAAGTAGAAAAATTCACGAACAGGAAGAATGAGTTTTACTGAGCTACCCCCAACCCCTCCAATTAAAACCACACCTGATACAAGCTTGAATATTTTACGAGTTACAGTGAAAGAATCGATCAGTATGCCGATAGTAGTAAAAATGAATCACAGCCGTGCGGCGGCATTATATATTATGGCCATCACTGATAACTTTTGTGTGTAACCACTGCCAAGCTCACCCTTAGGCATCAGAAAATAATTTTTAGAAGCGCCGTCAAGCGTAAAATCCGCCGTACGATCTCAAAGGAAAAGAAAAATAAGATAGGGGATAAGATTTTGGATAATTTAATAGCTTTATCACTTTCATTTCTCAATTTCTTGTTTCTAAGAGAAGTAGGTAATACAGATTTTTGAGAAAATAAATTTGTAAGTAAAAAAAAATTTTTTTGTTGGTGTTAGAGTATTTTAATAATATGTTGACTGATCGAAGAAAAGTCGTTGTTTATAACAGGAGTTTTTGCGTCCTTAGGGCTCCTTTTAAGCTGTCAAACATTGTCAGCCATGAGGTTCGTCCTTCGCCTCATCTGCGTCTGAGCTATTAAACTTTGTTGATACGAAATTCCATTCGAGAGGCTGTGGCCGAAAAGGAGATATAGAAGATCCCTGGGGCATTTCTGCTGTATGCTAAGTAATAATGATTAGCACACTTCTTCAAAGGCAAAAGGACAGCAAAAAGTTAGTGCTAATTAAATAAATCAAAAATCTTTAAAAAAAAAAAAAAAAAAAAAAAAAAAAAAAAAAAAAACTGAAAGGTTTCAGATTTTAAATTACGTCCAAAGGGGCGGTTTTTTTTTTTTTTTTTTTTTTTTTTTTTTTTTTTAACGTTTTGTGTGTTACCTTTATTTATTAAATATCATGTTCTTTCGCACTTAAACCATAAAATTCACTTCAATAGCAATATCGCAAAATAATTTAAAACGAGCACTATCTTTAGAATTTCCGATACACAGTTTCCGCGCACTGGAGATAAAAATATTCCCCCCCCCTGTACAGTGTTGCCATTGCTCGCTTTGAAATCCGTTGAATTTGTTAACTCAAAAATTCGTTAAAGTTTTACAAAATATAAAATCGATAATAAAACAAATTCTAAATTTCAAATTTGGGATTTCACATGCGCATATTCGGGTAGGAAACGTACGCTCATTCAAAATTCGATGGCTCTAGGTACCGTTGTTTTACCACAATGCTAGAAATATACATACATTTATGCAGATTTTTCATTTTTAATTTCTTCAAATATAATGCAGGACTCTAACATTTGGTGGCAACAGTTTCAAAAGTGAAACGGACATTTATAGTGATTCAACGCAAAATCTCAAAAATGAAAACAATTGTCCTTCAGTGAACAAAACCACTTTGGACTAATAAAATGTAACTAATAAAGAAACAATAAAACTTTTGAAGCACATTATTTTCCGCACTCCAGTTAAGAAAATGATCAATGAAAATAAAAATCAATGATAACGACTTTGAAATTAAGCATCATGTCGTCACATTATTTTAAAAACAGTGAAGTTACTACGTTTAATTATGGCAGAACACACAAGGCCTATCTGCATAAGGCGAATCACTTAGCGGAAAACTTCTGAAACGATTTGCAGTTACAATTGCCAATATTTATTTTCCACCTCAAGCGATCGATCTCAAGGATCTGCTTCAAATTAGCTTTTAAAGAAGTCATAGATAATGCAATGAAAAGTTTTGCTATCAGAAATAAAGGTATATCCGCAGGCAATGCGAAGCTTGATTCTTCTCCTTTAAGTTGACAGTCAAATGAGAGCAGTGTTGTAACTACTGTGTTATGAAGGCCGCTTTGCAATGAGAACTCTTTATTTTAAGAGCATGAAAACATTCATGACGCCTACGTTTACCTGAAATCGGAACTAATAACAAAACTGTCAGAACTAGCCTCTGATTCACTTACATATTTAACGGGAATATGAAGTGTAATAACCATATGAATCAAATTATAGTCTATAAAACACGAGACAACATTAAAATATTCTTAGAAAATGGGAATGGTATTAAATTAATAACTGTATTACCTATACTGATTGTATCAATATTTTTTCTACAGTAAAGAATATGGAAATAGTTTTCAGCTCATTCATTCAATCTTTCTTAATTTCTCTCGAAGATGGAAATTATGCACTAACTGCAGAATCCTAATGCTATGATTTGATAAAATTAATACTCCTATAAGAATACTAAACGTAACCAGTTAAGTTCATTTTACTTGTCTAGTATCTCTCTTAGTTGCAATAGTTTTCTTTCTATTGAGAGCTATAGAAAAATACCCCTAAATTTCGTTCCGTAAATTGTAATTATTAATCAATAATTAATAAGTTAAATTTTATAAAACGTTGTCATATAGAGAGTAGAGCTTGAATTCAGTAGTAGCCCTTTGGATGCTGGTACTAGTACTTAATTTTTGAGCGAAACCATAATTCTCCCATCTGAGCGAGGGCTTTTCTTCACCCGCTCAGATGAGTCCAGCACTTTGTTGAGCAATTAAATCGCTGCATTAGCAGAAAGTTTTATTATTAATGGCAAATTTCTTTTAGCAGTAAAACTAATACTGATACTAATTACTGAAAGTACATCTCATTTTTCCTCTGAAGAAGGAAACATCTGGGAAAACTGTACACAATTTTTTTATCATTCATTTATTCATTTATTCACTGTTCCTTTGCTTAATATTTCATCCGATTTTTATGGTCGGCTATTTTAACTTAATTTGTTATTTTACTGTTTGCCATTAATTTGAATCAGTTTATTACTTTTTTTTACTATCCCTACATATTTAATTTAAATTTCGCCTTGTTTGTTACTTATTTATTATTATTATTTTTTATTTGTTCCTCTTCCCTGATGTCTAATTTAATCCCATACTTCTAATTTAAGAAATTAAATCCTGAACGGGAGAAATGCTATTGTGTATTTTTGAAACCTTTCACACATTTTTGAGAAATTATATTCTTATTACTTTTCTCAAAGGGAAAATTTAAAACTGATTTTTCAAATTCCGTATGAGTACTTAATGTGTATATCTCAGAAAGAGGCACCATATGGTATTCTTTGCATAATTCTTGAGTGACAATTTTCTTTTTTTATAATTTCAGTCTTTTAGATTCAGTCACTCTTACCTCATATTCTAATTTTTATAACATTTATTGACAAAGGAAGGAACGTAGACTGATGTAGATGTCACAGATTTATTTGATTTTATATTTATGAATTCGCTAATATCTTACGTTGAGTTACTAATTTCATACACTTATGATTTCATACACGAACGAAGGAAGTTCAGTTACTGATTCTATATGTTACATATGATAATCGTGTGTGAATGCACTATATATCTTTATGTTAAGTGTGTGATAAAAAGCAATCACTATATTTCTGAACTATATTACAGACTTACGCTAAAACAGTGCTAGTCTTAATAAATTTAAAGAAACTATATAAAAATTATATCGCCCTTTTTTCCTATTTTTTTGGTAATTAGATATTTTAGTTTAGTACTGGCATAAAAAATATATTATGATTTCAGCTGAATAAATTTTTGCAATTCTATACCTCCTTTTTTTGTTGCCGTTCTTTTTCAATGTACTGGACAACAGTTTTACATTCCTGTACAAAATAGATAAAGTTGCGAAAGAGCCCGTGATATCTAGAAGATTAAACAAACTCGTTCACAAGTTAGATTAATGATAAGCTTTTAGAATCGCTATTTAAGAAAAGAAATGTTATTTAAAATGATATATTAAAAAGCTACTTTTAGAATTTTAATACTAGGAAAAGAAAATTAAATTTATTTTGATATATGCGATAGTTATACTGATCACTGATGTTTTGTTATACGAAATTTCTTTTAGACAATTTATTCTTTATAGAGATGCTCATACATAGCTATAAATGATTTCTTTACATTACTTATTAGAGAGCTTTTTCCTCACTGAATCCGGTAAAATCTCCTGCGCTTCCTACTTTGCTCCGGGGATGCTGGTATCTTGGCCAATAGGCGTACCGAATGGTGAATGCTGGGAGGCCTGTTCGCCATTTTAGATTTACCCCACCCTCGTTTCGCTGTGCAGTAAACTGGGCACATCTTTCATTAAGTCGCAGACGTACGGTTGCGTAGGGCAGATTTTTGAAATACGTTTGCTGGTGCGTGTGTGTGGGTTCTTAGTGAATCCACTTTCTTTGGATTTACCACGCTGGAACTAATGGAATTAGAGAATATTGTTGCTAATACGGTGTATTTGAAGGCTAGAGAAGGTAAGCATTTCCTTACAAAGAGTGGATTCACACTTTATGCATGTATAAATTGTATGTATATACATATATACTTGTGTTTGGTTATGCTGAAAATTGGAGCATGCTACGCCACGTTTTGAATCAGAAGGCCGTAATTTTGTGTATTTGCATGGAAAAATATTGTAACATGTTGCTTTTATTAAAAAATGTGTCATAGCTTCATATAAATTTTGTTAGTTACCAAATCTGTGGCTTTCTATAACCGATTGTATGGTTATTTTTCGCATGTTTCTGTATGTTACATATGATAATCGTGTGTGAATGCACTATATATCTTTATGTTAAGTGTGTGATAAAAAGCAATCACTATATTTCTGAAATGAAAAAACAATTCCGAATGCTTTTATATTGGGTACCTTTCGGCAGAAATAGAAGTTTAAATGAAATCGTACCCTCTTGTGAAGTGTCAACTTACTTTGCTGACTGTTTATAAATACCTAACGTAAAGTTAACCCCTTAACTAATGTAAACAAAAATATTCTCTAAAAGGCAAATTCTTTTTATTAGTATTATCATTTGAGTAACTGCATAAATCTGGAGAATGAGATACCTTTTATGTAGGACAGAAATGCTTGAATAAAACCATCAGTCATATTTTGAAATATTAATATATTTAACTGTCAACTTTATCTTGAAAAAATATATTAGTAATTTGAAACAAACACTTTGTGTGTCAACTTACTTCTCTGCCCCTTTTATTTTAAATTTAAAAGATTGTAAAGTAGAAGCTTAAATATGATTAATTGTTAGAAGTTTAACCTGTTTCTAGAGTCGTATTTTGTTGTTAATTTAATTACTGTGAATTTTAAGGGTTGATGGTATTTATAATTACTGTTTTATCATAAAGCTTAAATATGCATATTTTAAAAAGAATAGTTTTTTTTTTTATTTTATATATATATATATATTTCAGTTGAAATGACATGACATTCTAACTGTATTGTGTACCATTTTCAGTTTTTTTTTAATAATAAAATAAGGGGGACATATATACTCTTATAATTTATAAAGTGTGCAAGAGTAAATCTTTTCATAAAATCTAAAATTATCTCCAATACAGAAAATCCATTATTATACATGCAGATTTCCATTCATGCACGTGCTGATACAGTTATTAATGAACATAAGTCATAAATTTTTAAACATTAAACTGATCTAAAGCATTAGTATGAATAATCATAAGATTTGCTGTTAAATTCATGTAATACAGTCTTATACCTTAGTTCTTAAGTAATCATTTTTTAATGAAACATTTCTGTGGAGAATAGCAAATTTTAAATGGTTTATTTTATTTCTGGGTGTGTAATAAAACATATTGATAAGCGTTAAATTTTTAGTATTAATCTAATTTAACTTTTTCTTTCATATTTTGATTAATTTCTTGAAATTAATTAAGAAAATCAGTAAGTATATTTAAATAAAATCTAGTGTAATGTGTATAGTTTTTGTATACAAATATATAAATTGGGCTTTAACAGATTTTTCTTTTTAAGAAAAGGATCTAAGCTCTAGTTTAAATTACAAAGATCTAAATTTTGTTAAGTTTTCCATCAGAAAGCCTGTAAATCGGTGTTATTGTATCTCAACTTATGTTGTGCATCATCAGAATGAATAAAATGCTGATAATGAATGCATATAGATTCTGTGTTTTCTGGCATGTATTTCATTAATTTTTCATATCTGGAGATAACTTAAGTGTACTTCACATTAATATATGTGATTTTAACTTTGAAACTGCTGATAAATCAAATTTATTAATGTGCTTTAGTTTATAGCTTCGTGTTTAATGTATGCATTCAGTAAACCAGGAATGAAACAAGCAGTTTGAAAAGGTAACATGCTCTATTTCAGACTGCTGTAATACTATGTTTTATTATTTGTTATACTTACTTCATGAATTATGATTTGAAAAGTGTTATAAGTGCATGTTGAAGTAGAGTGTGAGGTAGCAATTGCAATTGAAAATATAGTTCAGCTTTGAAAACCTCTATTGCAGCTCACTTAATTTTTATTAGATGGTTCAGCATTTTTCTATAATTTATTTCATTAATTGCATAGAATTGTTAACCCTACAGTCTTGTAAAGTCAGTTGTTTGTGAATCTGCTGTGTATTGTTTGATGCATGCAAAAGTGTACACGACAATTCGCATGATATTAATTGCTATTGCATAAAATAATTGCATGCCTATATTTTGTCTGGAATAATTCCAGAAGTTTTTTTTTTTTTTTTTTTTTTCCCGTCACAAAAACAAAAATTACTGTTTTGTTGTAATGAATTGTTTAATCATAAAGAAGTGGTCAAAACTAATGTTTTAGTCACTGGACTGTAGCAGGAACTTCAAACTTATCTACTACATTAATAATAATATTGTGATACTGTTAATAATTGAAGTGTGAAAGGCAATTCAGCTTTTATTATTGATAATTTTATAAATGGTTACATAAGAACAGATAACTCATTATTTTAATTTATATAGTATTTTATATTTATGTTTTTTTTAAAAAAAATTTAAACCATATATGGAGTACAGAAAATAGGTTTATATTTTAATTAGAAGTAAAATCAGTGTGTCAAAACTTGAAAAAGCGAAATCAATTACTAATCTTACATATCAATACAAAAAATAAGTTTTTATTGTAATTAGAAGTAAAATCAGTGTGTCAAAACATTAAAAAGTGAAATCAACAATTACTATATCACATCAGGCCAATTTATTTTAGTATAGGTAGAATAAGTTGACTTGCTGCTGTTTAGTAATAGTGATTTGTTTTTATATAAATTATGAATCAAAATGATACAATTTTGCAGTAAATTATGATGACATGCTTGCCGATGTAATTTGGTGAAATGCATTTGAATGAAAGAATTGTATGGCTTGAATTTTAAAATTATAATCTCTGTAATGGAGTTACCATTTTGAAAAAAGGTACAAATATAATTTATCACTAATCTTTTTAGCATCAGATGAAAGTATAATTTTATTTCAAAGGTCTGTTTGTTATATCTTTATATCTCTGCTAGAAAACTTTCAATAGTTAAGATGATGTATACGAATGAAGGTGGCAAAGCCATTGTATGTGTTTTTTTCCCTTCTAATTAAATACATTAAAAAAAAAAAAAAAAACAGGTTTACCTCATATTCCTGTCAGTATGATAATTAGAAAGCTAAGAATGTGTATGCTTTAAAGAACTAATAATTTTTAAATAAAATCTTCCTTATACATTTAAGCCATTTTTTGAGTGATTACAGTGTTATAATTGAGTGCATCATTATATATATATATATAATATATATTATCAGGACATGCTAAATAATTTTATTTAGTGATAATATAATGTGGTGTTTTGTAGAGTTAGAAATTAATGATAGGCCAGAATGTTCTGATTGTAAAGTAAGTGAGAAAAGAATTAAATATGTCATTTTATGTAAAAACAATAAGCCACTGAAATAGACTATGCTTTGTATATCTGTTTGACATTCTTTATTTGTTGATTAAATAATGTGTCTTAATGTACTGTAATTAAGGTTTTTTTTTTTTACACATTATATTCACTCTTTAAAATAAACCTTATTATAACACATGCAAATTTTAAGGCTGTTGCTTTATATTAGATGAATGCTTCTAGTCTTGCATATAAAATTTAATTTCTTGATATTTAGTAGGGGCGGCATTTTAGTCGTTTTTAAATATATGATTTCATATAATTTATAATGTTTTAATGAAACATTTTGTCCATATCAAGGGGGAATTTTTTGTGAAAATTCTTTCAGCATTGGACAAAATAAACATTTCTAACAGATTTTTTAAAAACTGCATTAGTATTTATGGTTTGAGATGCTGTGTTAATTTCATGGCTAATTTCCTTTTGCTAGTCTTAGAATGTCATGTGGATTTTGGTTTCAGGTGTTCTGCTGTAGAGTAAAAGCAGAACATCTGAAAAGGTATTTCAAATTAATATACTATAAAATTTGTTGTCAATATGAAAGTTGTCATGACTGAAATAACATAGGTTTGGATAAACCACAAAGGCACAGTGTTTTTGTGTTAATCTTTTATTTGCCACCTTTTCATGTAATAAAATCGTTTATATGATTTTAACCAGTATCATGATACATTATGCTGTATTGGTAAAGAACTAATCAAAAAACTGATAAATGTATGCAAGAAATCTGTTATGCATTAGTAATACTGTGTTGTGTTAAAAATAACTGCATAAATAGAAGCTGCAAATGACTTAAGGAATGGGTAACCTATTCAAACTGTGGAATCCAGTGTATGTCCTGGCAGTTCATTATTTCACATTTTCAGTGAACTAGATTAACAGTGAAAACTTGTCTGAATTTGTTATCCATTAAAATGTATATATTTTTTATTTTTCATTAAATACTTTTCTCTTCCTTAAGATGTAGAATTCTAGAGATTTTTTTCCTTTAAGAAGTAGAATTCTAGAGATTTTTTTCCTTTAAGAGGTAGAATTTTGATGAACTTTTCACATAAGTGTGTCCTGTTTATGTTTGTGGCTCATTATGTTATTTCTGGATGCAGCTATAGAAAGTTGAGTTTTGTGTTCACCTTTGGTTTAATAATTTTAACAACATTATTTAACCCTTTGCTCAGCACAGTTTTTCTGCTAAATACTTTTCTATGCTTAAATGAATTGTGTCTTGATTGGAGAGTTAATCGTTTGCCAACAAACTTGCATCATAACCCGAGATCACAAATCAAATCAAAATATTGATCACATTTTTACTTGTGCTATGATAAACATGTGTATTCACATTGCATTGTATATTATATTTTAATGTGTAGGTTTTGTTGCTTTAAAAAGTGTTAATATGTAGTTGCCTTACCAGTTCTGTATGTGTGTATTTTAAAAATCTTTAAATTTTACTGAAAACAGTATCTGCTTGTTCTTAAGGTGGGAAAGTAAGTTCTTATTACTCTTAGTTGTGGAATTT